TTCTATTTTGCCCTCTGATTCTAAAATATCAGGGCAGTTTTCCTTGATAATTTATTGAAAGATAATGTCTAGGCTTTTACTGATCATGGCTTTCAGACAGTCCAATAATTTTTAAATTCTCTCTCCTGGATCTATTTTCCAGGTCAGTTGTTTTTCCAATGAGATATTTCACATTGTTTTCTAATTTTTCATTCTTTTGGATTTGTTTTACAGTGTCTTGATTTCTCATAAAGTCACTAGCTTCCAATTGCTGTATTCTAATTTTTAAGGAAGTATTTTCTTCAGTAATCTTTTGGACTTCCTTTTCCATTTGGCCAATATTGCTTTTTAGGGTATCCTTCTCCTCATTGGCTTTTTGGACCTCTTTTGCCATTTGGGTTAGGCTATTTTTTAAGGCATTATTTTCTTCAGTATTTTTGGGGGTCTCCTTTAGCAAGCTGTTGACTTGTTTTTCATGATTTTCTTTCATCACTCTCAGTTTTTCCTCTACTTCTCTTACTTGCTTCTCAAAATCCCTTTGGAGCTCTTCCAAGGCCTAAGAGTGATTCATATTTTTTCTTGGAGGCTTTGGATGTAGGTGCTTTGACTTTGTTGTGTTCTTCTGGTTTTATGTTTTGATCTTCTTTGTCACCAAAGAAAGATTCTATGGTCTGACTTTTTTTTTGTGCTGTTTGCGTATGATCCCAGCAAATTACTTGAGTTATAAACTCTTTGTTAAGGTAGGGGTCTATTTCCAGTGTGGAGAATGTACTGTCCCAAGCTTCAGGGGTTTTGTGCAGCTGTTTACAGAGATACTTCTAGGGACCTGTAAATTTTCAGTTCTGCCAAGATGATATGATCAGGGGCAAGGTGTTCATTCCTTTTCTGGCATGTGCTCTGGTCTATGAGTGACCACAAGTATTCTTTTCTACCTTGAAACTGTGAGGAGGATTCCCTCTCCTCTGACAGTACAAGCTCTACCACGACAGTGCTCTTTCTTGCCCCAGGGCTGCCACCTAGGATTGGACTCAGATTAAAGCATGGGCAAAGCAAATGATTCCTGTCTCAGTACCAGCAAAGAGATTCCTGCAATCCCCCTCTGCTCAGCCACTAAGTTCCACCTCAGTCTATGGCTAGGAAGGGCATGAGTTCTCTCTTACTATAGTCATAGACTTTTCCTACTGACCTCCTAAGTTCTCTTTGGCATTCGTGGGGTAAGTCTGGAAACCACCACAGCTGTCTGTGATTCAGTCCTATGAGACCTGTGCCAGAACCACTGAGGCCTGGTTTGCCTGCGTGCCCATGCTGAGCGGTGTTCCTCTCCCAGCTCAGCGCGATATACTTTTCCAATCAACCATCCAGGTTGTCTTGGGCTGGAAATACTTTTCACTATATCTTTTGTGTGCTTTGCTGATTTGGAATTTGTTTAGACTCATTTTTTTTAATAGGTATTTGGAAGGTTTTAAGGAAGAGCTCAAGCAAGTCACTACTTTTACTCTGCTACCATCTTGGCTCTGTCCACCCCCCTTTTTTTAGCTTCAGCTGAAGCATAATATATTCTACTCCAGCCTTTTACCTTTACCCTGTCTGTGTCATTCTGTTTCAAATGTGTTTCCTGTAAACAACATATTGAGGATTATGGTTTTTAATCTATTCTGCTATCTGCTTCCATTTTATGGGAGAGTTGATTCCATTCACATTCACAGTTATGGTTACTATCTATGTCTTTCTCTCCACCCTAATTCCCCCCTGTTTATGCTTTTCTTTCTCCTTTCTCCCTTTCCCTCCTCACTAGTGTTTTGCTTTTGACTATTGCTTCCCTCAGTCCCCACCTCCCTTCTATTAGCCCCCTCCCTTTTCTCCCCCTTTACCCTTACTACTTCTTCCTTCCCTTCTATCTCCCCTCCTTTTTCTTTCCCCTTTTCCCTCCTACTGCCTATAGGGCAAGTTAGATTTCTTTACCTAACTGATTTTGTTATTCCCTTCTTGAGCCAAATCCAATGAGAGTAAGGTTCAAACAATGCTCATTGCCCTTCCTTCTTTCCCTCTACTGTAATAGGTGTTTGTGCCTTTTCCTGTAATGTAATTTACCCTCGTCTGCTTCCTCCTTCCCTTTTCTGTCAGTACATTTTCTTTGTTAGATCAGATTAATCCACTTACTTGGATCCATTTAAATCATAATACTTTCTCCTTGGGCTGGAGGTTTCAGAATCTAGATATGATATTCCTGTAAGTTTTCCTCATAGGATCTCTTTCTGGTGGTGATCAGTGGATTTTTTTTTCTATTTCTACTTTACCTTCTAGTTCTAATACTTCAGGAAAATTTTATTTAATTTTTTTTGTATTATTGTATCAAGATTCTTTTTTTCTATAGTAGCTTTCAGGTAGTCCAAATATTCTTATGTTTTTTCTTCTTTATCTGTTCTCCAGTTATTTTTCTTATGAGATGTTTCACATTCTCTTCTATTTTTTCATTCTTCACATTTTTTTTTATCATTTCTTACTCTCTGATACCTTCCCTGGCTTCCCCTTTCCCAATTCTAATTTTCATTTGTTTATTAGTAATTTATGTTTTCCCAGTTACTTGTAAAAACATTTTTAACATTCATTTTTATAACTCTGAGTTCCAAATTCTCTCCGTTCCTCCATCTCCCACACCTACTGAGAAGGCAAGCAATTCATTATAGGTTATACATGTGTAGTCATTCAAAACATTTCCATAATAGTCATGTTGTGAAAGATAACATAGACTGGGGAAAAAAAAAACAAACAACTCAAGAAAAATAAAGTTAAAACAGAAAGTATGTTTCAATGTGTACATAGACACCATCAGTTCTCTCTCTGGGGTTGGATAGCATTTTTCATCATAAGTCCTTCAGAGTTGTCTTGGATTATTGCATTGCTGAGAATACCTAAGTCATTCACAGCTGATCATCACAAAATATTGCTGTAACTTTGTATACAGTACATTTCACTTTGTATCACCTTATGTAAGTCGTTCCAGATTTTCAGTTTCCAATTCTTTGCCACCAGAAAGAGCTGCTATAAACATTTTTGTACATATAGGTCCTTTCTCTTTTTTGTTTTGTATCTCTTTTTGGATACAGAACTAGTAGTGGTATTGTTAGGTCAAATGGTATACATTGTTTTATAGCCTTCTGGGCTTAGTTCCAAATTATTCTACAGAATGGTCACAACTTCACCTACAGTGTATTAATGTCTCCTTTCCTCCACAACCCCTCCATCATTTGTTCTTTTCCTTTTCTGTCCTATTAGCCAATCTAATAGGTATGAGATAGTACCTCAGAATTTAATTAATTTGCATTTTTCCAATCAATAGTAAGTTGGAGCTTTCATATGGCTATAGAGAGCTATGATTACTTCATCTGAAAACTTCATATCTTTCGATCCTTTATCAATTGGGGAATGGTTATTTTTTTAAATAAATTTGACTCAGTTCTCTATGTGTTTGAGAAATGAGACCTTTGTCAGAAAAAAAAACAAACTTCAAAAAAATTTTTTCACAGTTACTATTACTAACTGTATTTCCCTCTGTCCTATTCTCTCCAGTTTATTCTATTCTCTCTCCACTTTCACCCTGTCCTTCCTCAAGTGTTTTTTACTTCTGACTATTCCCTCCCCCAATGTGCCCTCATTTCAATTGACACCTCCCTCTTCTCATTAAATGTCCATCTTTTCTTCAGAAAGATTGTGCTCAGTTTTGCTGCATAGTGGATTGTTGGTTGTAATCCAAGCTCCTTTGCCTTCCAGAATACCATATTCCAAGGCCCGTGATCCTTTAATGTAGAAGTTGCTAAATCCTGTGTAACCCTGACTATGGCCACCCAATTGTGGAATTGTTTCTTTCTGGCCGCTTTCAGTATTTGCTCCTTGACTTGATAATTCTGGAATTCAGCTACAATATTCCTTGGAGTTTTCAATTTGGGATCACTTTCAGGAGGTGATTGGTGGATTCTTTCAATGCCTATTTTACCCTCTAGTTCTTGATAATTTCTTGAAAGATGTCCAAGCTTTTTTTTTTTTGATCATGGCTTTTAGGTAGTCCAATAATTCTTAAATTATCCCTCCTAGATCTATTCTACAGATCAGTTGTTTTTCCAGTGAGGCATTTTACATTTTCTTCTATTTTTTCATTCTTTTGATTTTGTCTGACTGATTCTTTATGTCTCAGAGTCATTAGCTTCCACTTGTCCAATTCTAATTTTTAAAGAATTATTTTCTTCAGTTAGCTTTTGTACCTCTTTTTCATTTGGCCAATTCTAATTTTTTTATTTTTATTTTTGCTAGGCAATGGGGTTAAATGACTTGCCCAGGGTCACACAGCTAGTAAATGTCAAGTGTCTGTGGCTGAATTTGAACTCAGGTCCTCCCAACTTCAGGGCCAGTGCTCTATCCATTGCACCACCTAGCTGCCCCTTCAATTCTACTTTTTAAAGAGCTGTTTTCTTCAGTTAATTTTTTTTCCTTCCTTTCCCAAGCTTTTGACTCTCTCTTGCATACTTCTCATTTCTTTTCTCAATTTTTCTTCTATCTCTCTTACTTGACTTTTAAAATCCTTTTTGAGTTCTTCTAAGAAGACTTTTTGGGTTTGAGACAAATTCATATTCCCCTTTGAGATTCTGCATGTAGGTACTTTTACACTGTTGTCCTCTTTTGAGTTTGTGTTTTGATCTGCTCTGTCACAATAGTAAGCTTTCTATGGTCAAATCTCTTTTTTGCTTTTTGCTCATTTTTTTTTTGCCTATTTTGTGGATTTTTTAAAAAGTAACAAATGCACTTTATTGATTTACAGATTAAAGAAAGCTACGTCCCCAAGATTAATAACTGCTTTGCTCTCCAGTTAAACAACTATGCAACATGATGGGCCTAGAGTAGCCATGTCAACTTTTACTGCTGCACATTATATACATGGGTTTGACTTTGATCACAGGATTAGGAAATCAAAGCATTACTTTAATTTAGCTTCTGTGTGCATCATTGATGTCCGAATTCAGTTTCTTTTATATTCCATATTTTCCTTTTAGTTCTTCCCCTTTTGCAAAATAAGCTTTCATGGAATCTTCTCTGGATTTCCCTTTCAAAGAGTTCCAGGCATCCCACTTAGCCTTGCCTTTGAAGTACACCATACCTGGATGATTTATGACTGTATTTATGACTGTGGCTTGTTTGTAATGGCTATAGATAAAGAACATTTCCTGGTCATCTGGTTTGGACTTCAGGTTTTTGACTTCTTCTGTAACTTGGTCAAATTCAGCCTGAGACATGCTGCCAAATGAGTAGGGTGGGAAGGATCAAACAAGAGCTTCCACCTAAGGCCTGCACAGTAAAACCTCGCAGGCTGGGCTGAACTATTTTGCGGATTTTAAAGTTGAGTTCTGCTCCTGGGGCACAGGGGCCATTGCGCTAAGCTTTTTGTGCTTGGGGCCAGGTGCCTAGTGACTGGCTTTGTGTACTGGGGCCTCAGGTGTGGGCGGTTTGCTCGTTACACTAGGGTGGTCCAGCTTAGGCATGCCTGTTGTTGCCTGGTTTCCAAGGCTGGCAACTTGCCTTCTTTGCTGGGGATGGAGGCTTACAGCTGGCCTGCTGTGCCACTGGCCCACAAAGCCAGAAAAGAGGGCCTCGGTTGCTGATCTCTGCTGTGGCTAAGAGTCTCTCACTGACTTACCCAGACACTGTTTGCACTGGGCTGTGCTCCCTTTTGCCCAAGTGAGACAAACCTTTCCTGAAGTCCTTCTAAGTTATCTTAAGCTGGAGAATTGTTTCACTCCATCTTTTTGTGGGTGCTATCATTTCAGAATCTTTTTAGAGGCTTGATTTAACTCTGTTTCTGAGGGAAAGTGGGAAGAGCTCAGGCATCTTCCTGGCTTCTCTCTGCTAACTTGGATCACCCCTCCTCCCCCCTCAAGTTCAGTTTTGAAAGACAGAACACAGAGAGAGGAGGGAAGGGAGGAAGAGCCTGGTGTAAGAGAGGATAAATTCTGAGAAATGCCAAAAGTAAGGGCAGAACTTGGCACAAAATGGAAGTGAAATAAGGTAAATCAGAGTGTAATGATAAAAAGGAGATTAGAGTTAGGGAGGGGAGCAGTCAGTAAACTCTAAAAACATTTCTGAAGAAAAGTTAAGAGATCAAGTTGTCTGGGCAGAGCCAAGATGTCAGGGGGAAAGCAGTGACTTGCTTGAGATCTCCCCCCAAACCCCTCCAAATACCTATAAAAAATGACTCTAAACAAATTTTAAAGCAGCAGAACCAAGCACTGGTTGGTGAAACCAGTGACAAAAAGAGCGAAACAAATTTCCAGCCAAAGACAGCCTGGATGGTTGATCTAAAAGGAATATTGCGCCGGGCTGGGAGAGGAGCGCAGTGCAGCATAGGTTCGCAGGCCGCAGCAACCCTGGAGCAGGCCTCAGAGGACTGAATCACGGGCAGCTGTGGCAGTTTCCAGACTTCTCAACCCAGGAATGCCAAACACAACTTAGAAGGTCAGTGGGAAAAGTCTGGGACTGCGGTGAGAGAGAAGCTAGGTCTCAGCCGCAGCTGTTTCCTGAGCTTCCGGCCCACAGACTGAGGGGGAATTGAGTGGCTGATCAGAGGGGGATTGCAGGGATCTCTTTGCCAGTGCTGAAGCAGGAATCTCTTGCTTTACCAGTGCTTGGATCTGGGTCACAGTTCTGAGGGGTGGTCCTGGAGCAAGGAGGAACACTGGTGTGGTGAAGCTTGTTGTGGAGGTGGAGAGAAAACATGTTGCCCCTTATCATAACACCTTGGAAGAAAGGAAAATTTTCAGGTCCCTAGAAGTATCTCTGAAAACAGCTGTACAAACCCCCGAAGCTTGGGACAGTACATTTTCCACATTGGAAGTAGACTTTTACCTTAACAAAGAGTTTAAAACTCAAGTAATTGGCTGGGATCATGAGTAAGCAGCACAGAAAGAGTCAGACTATATTATCCTACTTTGGTGACAAAGAAGATCAAAACATACAACCTGAAGAAGACAATGAAGCCAAAACTCCTACATCCAAAGCCTCCAAGAAAAATATGAATCAGTCCCAGGCCTGGGAAGAGCTCAAAAGAGATTTTGAGAAGCAAGTAAGAGAAGTAGAGGAAAAACTGAGAGTGATGCAAGAAAATCATGAAAAACAAGTCAACAGCTTGCTAAAGGAGACCCAAAAAAATACTGAAGAAAATAACACTTTAAAAAATATCCTAACCCAAATGGCAAAAGAGGTCCAAAAAGCCAATGAGGAGAAGAATGACCTGAAAAGCAAAATTGCTCAAATGGAAAAAGAAGTCCAAAAGCTTACTGAAGAAAATTCTTCCTTAAAAATTAGAATACAGCAATTGGAAGCTAGTGACTTTATGAGAAATCAAGACAGTGTAAAACAAATCCAAAAGAATGAAAAATTAGAAAGCAATGTGAAATATCTCATTAGAAAAACAACTGACCTGGAAATAGATCCAGGACAGAGAATTTAAAAATTATTGGACTATCTGAAAGCCATGATCAAAAAAAGAGCCTAGACATCATTTTTCAAGAAATTATCCAGGAAAATTGTCCTGATATTTTAGAACCAGAGGACAAAATAGAAATTGAAAGAATCCACCAATCTCCTCCTGAAAGAGATCCCCAAAGGAAAACTCCCAGGAATATTGTACCCAAATTCCAGAGTTCCCAGGTCAAGGAGAAAATATTACAAGCAGCCAGAAAGAAACAATTCAAGTGTTGTGGTAACACAAGATTTAGTTGCTTCTATATTAAGGGACCGCAGGGCATGTAATATAATATTCCAGAGAGCAAAGGAGATAGGATTACAACCACGAATCACTTACCCAGCAAAACTGAGTATAATCCTGCAGGGGAAAATATGAACATTCAGTAAAATAGAGGACTTTCCAGCATTCTTGATGAAAAGACCAGAACTGAATAGAAAATTTGACTTTCTAATACAAGACTCAAGTGGAACATGAAGAGCTAAACAGGAAAGAGAAATCATAAGAGACTTATTAAGGTTGAACTGTTTACATTCCTGCATAGAAAGATGATATTTGTAACTCATGAGACCTTTGTCAGTATTAGGGTAAATGAAGTGGTCATATCTGGAGAATAAAATTAAGGGGTGAGAGAGAATTATAGTAGGAGAAGGAGAAAGGGAGAGGTAGAACGGGGTAAATTATCTCACAAAAAACAAAAGAAAAGGCTCTTATAGTGAAGGGGAAAATGGGGTAAGGTGAGGGAGAATGAGTGAATCTTATTCTC